TATGTTGAATGTTTACCTCTTGTTGCTTCTTACTTTCGTCTATCACTACCTGTGGCTCTTCACTCTCAAATGGAGTATAGTTTCATTGATGATAACCTCGATCACAATACCACCAAGACATTTTATTTAACATGTTCTTAGTGCCTGTCTACACATTTGTTCATGTTTAGATCTTATTTAATTAAAAAATGTTAGATGGTACAAATTACTCTTTGAAAAAAAGCGATCTGAAACAGTACTTTGAAAATGGCAGTAGATGATTTAGAGTAAGACTTCGATGGATGCATTTTGACACAAGAAAAAATTGCCTTGATGAAATTAATAGGGTGACATTAACTATTATGTTCCATTTTCTGACTTCTTAACTGTCTATTGTTGGGCAAGAAGATTAAACCATCTGATGAACTCACTTTATAAATGAACGTGCCTTCTTCACAGGATCAAATTTCGAGAGCCCTTAAATGCCTATTTTTCTCCATTCATTTTTACCTAAGATTTTGATAATGAATCATTACTTTAATAGGTTTGATATCTCTCTACTGTTGAAAGGCAAAAGTCCTTCATTTCTAAGACTCAGCAAAATGGATATGTAATCATTATTACTAGCCTAAGAACATTTTTTGGGGGGTGGGGTGGACATGAATGCTTCAGAGAAGAATATGTCCTGCTTTTTCTCTATTCTCTTCCTTTATTTAAAATTAAAAAAAAAAACAACACCGATCTTAGTGATATAAGTCAAAGAAGAACAGGTTTGACACGTTAAAACGTGCTGCTATTCATATTTTTCATTTTAAAATGTTGTATTTGGAATCTTTGATAAGGGAGTTGGTTTGTACAAGTATTATCTTCAAATGGTGTGAGCTACTTTTTGGCTGTAGTGTTTATGAAATTGCTAGTACTACATCACTAAAAGATTTACCTTCTGTAGATGAGGTAGAAAAAAAGTTGAAGTGATTTTGTTTCCTTCTGACAATATTTAATGTGCCTTTAATCCTAAAGGGTAAAAAATAAAGAATTTGAATTTGAGTCACATATCTCTCAAGAACTGTTCGGAGATTTGTTCTATTCTTGAAATTGAAAGACAAGAAAGTTAATTGAATGTTAACATACCTTGAAGCTAAGTGCAATTTCAGTTTGAAATATGTGCCTCTTCCCTTTTTTCAGAATAATCAACTTTACATTTCTGCTGGGTTGAATAACTGATCAAACACTTAACATTAATAAGCAGATGAAAATATACCCCAATATCATTGGGTCTTTATGGGCCAAAGTACCACTTACCATACCTAGTTTACTGACTCTTTTTAATAGCTGTTGAATGAATGATTCTATTTGCATTGTTTGCTATACCTGTACATTCAGCCAAACCAAAAGAGAGGCAACAAATTAGGTGTATAAGAATAAATAAAACTATGGATGAGTGTATATTCAAGCTTTTTACATTGCTAATAATGGGGAACTAGGTGTTTCTTCCTCCTTCTACCCAGATCTTTGAATGCCTTGTAGTGTGAAAAGTTTCTAAACCAAACAACTTAGTATTTAATAGCTGCACAATGTCCACTAAACCACTGTTTCTAAAATTTTATTACTCTTTAATAATTTTCTCTGCTGTATGTAACCACATCTGTAAATTAGCACCAGTCATTGACAGCACTGAAAATTAGGCTGAGACCGGATGCAAAATTAAGGTCAAAATCTTGTGTTAACATCCATATTCTGGCTACTCAAATTTTATAACATAACATAATTGGATCATATCAATATCCAAGTTACCATTTTGACTATTCTTAAACTCACCAACTATTATTCAAGATTTCAAGATATGTGTGTGTGGGGGGGGGTATGGTCACATAAATTTGATTTCTCTTACAATATTTTCCTTCTTGTGGCAGGTAATAAAGTTACAATTTTATGTAAAGCCTTATCTTAGTGATTATTTCCTCTTCAATGTCCTTTTTAGATCTGTGTTTATACAGATATGTGATTGAAAGAATTTCTGATAGATAGGTCTTGAGTGATTTATGCAAGAGACGTTAATTTCTCAATGTTTGCACAAAGACTATATGTAATTTATAAATTCTCATAAGAAATACCTTAGATAAAAGAATTATCAGAATTACTAATATTTCTTCTAATTTATCAGCCATGTTTTCTACAAGGTCTGTTATAGAAAATTATTTTATTAGAATAGTACATTGATTTCAAATATGTATTTTCTTTAGATTCTATAAACATCAACTACGGAGTTACAAAATGTGCTGAGATACATTATGGTGCCATGGCTGATATACATGGAACCTATATGATTTTAATAGCTGAATAACTGTGGCCAGTGAATGCCCTTGCTGCTGTGCAAGCTCATGGCCTACTAAGCTCTTTTAGAATTTTCTTGGAACACCAATTAACTAGCATTTTTTTTAAAGCAAGGCATCGAGTATTGAATAACTTTAGTCTTTTCGTAGAGCATTTATTTACCATTATTGTTCTCTTGGCCCAAAGTAGCAGCATAAAAAATATGAGACCCAATCCACATTTATAATAATGATATAATTACCTAGTTTCATATAAAAATAATACTTGGAATGCTTTCATTAACAAAATTCTAAAATAAGTTAACATGGAAACATAATATTTCAAGACTATAGAAACTCCATTTGCCTCTGTATTAGATTAAAGGCAGGGGCTCAGAAGCAGTCCATTACCATTGTCAAGTGTAATCAAAATGAGATGGCTCTGGGGTGCTTTTCTTACACAATCGGGGAAATATTTTAGTACTTAAAACCATGCAGAGGACCTTGGCTTTTAGCAAATGGTTAATTGTATACGCACATTGTCATCTTTCAAACCCTCATCTGTAAAGTTACAGGATGAATATTTAAAAAAAAAAGCTGTAGACAGTTTATCTGTAAAGTTATAGGATGAATATTTAAAAAAAAAAAAAAAGCTGTAGACAGTTTATCCAAAATTTAACTCCAAAAGCCTAATGGACTTCCAAAACCTAGACTTTTTCCACAGGAACTTTTCCTCATCCCCTTTGCACAGGAAAGCACAAATCCAGGATCCACAATGGTTTTCCAAAGCTGTACCCTTCTTCCAGGGTGAGTGTCATCCAGCATTAGCACAACCCAGACAATGTGTCTCCAGGGGTAATTCCTGAAAGCCCCTCTTTTGATTTAGCTTTATCCTGGAATGCACACAATTATGATTTTGAAACATGATAAAGCAACATCTGGAAAGTTAAAATGTTGTAAAAAAAACTTAAATTACATTTTATTCCTCAGGCTTAAAACACAGATTCAGAATTATTCAAATTAAACTCTTGTCCCATAATTCAAAACTGTAATATGATAGCACATATTTTTTTGTTTGTTTTGCAGTCGCAAACAGGCAAAAATCAAAATTTTGCACACAGGTAGAATCAAACAGAAAATGTCATGTAACATTTGGGGACACCAGATTATGATAAATTTAAAGAGCAAAGGAAAAACTTCCCCTTGACATAATTTTTATTTCGTGGCTTTCAAAATTCCAATGGATCTGACATACATAAATGTAGACATTTTTGGAGAATCATTATGCTATGAATTATTTCAAGACCAATTGAAACAACAACAAAATATCTTAAGATTTTGAGGAAAACCCCCAAGAACTTACAAGAAAATTAGCCTATTTGGGAAAATATCAAAAATAACTAAACTTGCATATTATGTTTCATCAGCGATTATTTCACTATTGAAGGTTTTAAGAAGTTCTCCCATAATAAATGTGATATTTTATTCAAAATGTAGGTAACTATATTTTTATAAGCTGATAGAAGTAGAAAATTAGCATCTGCCACACTTTATATAGCAGAAAACTTTGTAGTAGGCAAAGCATTTGTACAGATGCTTATGGACCCACACACAACCTTGGGATGGAGTTAGGGAATGCTTTGCTGTCTCCATTTTGCAATTTGAGACCCTGAAAGTCAGGGGTTGGGGGCAACATGTCATGAACAGAAAATGTGAATTGCCTATTTTTTTTTTTAATCCTTGTCCTATACACTTTCTTGAAGATTCCAAATATATCTGAACAAATAAGTCAGTGAGAGGAGGGATGTGTGAGCTTGTGTACAGAAGAAAGGTGAACCTATCCTAAATGTAGGAAGTTTCAGCAAAGAGCAGGCTAATCTTTTCAGACTACATTGTTCTCTGACGCGATGCATATTTTTAATGAATGAGCAGGTTACAAATAATCATATGAGATTGGAGTATCAACATTTCGACAGCTCATTTTTGGCGTCAGAATGATCGCCACTGCTTATTGAAATGTACTAAAATGAATAGAAAAAAAGAAGAGAATTCCTTGATGTTGGTACAGGATGAAGTTTGTAGCTATTTTTTGAAATAATCTTTCCTTGCTACATTAGAGTATCTGAGTATATCTTAAACAATCCATTCTATGCATCTTTTTAAAAGGGGGTTGTCCTCTTAAAGTGGGGCAGGTGGGACAGAGACAGTGGTCTCTACTTTAGAACTGTGCACACATGTGCACACTAGTTGCATACGTTATAGTGCAAGCAGCAAATCCCCATGTTCCATCCATTCTGTATGGAGAAAAGAATTGGGGAGGGCAGAGAATAATGACACAAGGCTGGGTTGGAGTGGCCTAGTCTATTGGAAATACCTCATGTAGTTGAAACACAAAACAAAGCTAATGAGATCTGTCACAATAACTGAGTGTGGGTCTCTAGAGTTCACCCTGAAGTGAAAAAGAGGTCGTGATGTCCTTCGTAAGTTGCTTTGTGCTGTGTCCACCCCTAGAAATCAGAGTCATGAGTTCCTTCGAACCATTTTGTTTACTGTTGCTTTTGGAAAAGAAATCACAAAAATATCGAAACAAGTATCATTGGTTGGCTGAATTCAGATATTCTTCATTAAATAGTACCACAGACTTTATTGAGCAATTGAAAATATACACAAGGAACAACAGCTTCTTTTTCTGTATTTTTTTAAAATTTGACTTTCTTCCAAATAACCCAGTTTTGATCATGAAAAGGGCACTTGTTTCTACAGTAGCCGTGTACAGCTCGCTCAGGTCCAAGCCCTGTTCCTGCGTTTCTTGCTTGCCATGGCTGAGGTGATCGCTCGGCTTGCTCAGGAAGCAAATTCTAGAACGTGGCAAGAACTGACCTGCTAAGTTGTTCTTTCAGAATCTATTTCTCCATAGAGTTCGGCTAACTTTTTGAACTCGGGTCCCCAGTCCCCCAGGTACTGATAGTCCTGGTCTGATTGTGTGGTGGCTGAGTCCAGTGAGCTGATGGACCCAGCTTCTGATCTCTGGCCCTCGTAGGCATAAGTCTGGAGAGAGTCATAAGGGGGGACGCTGGGGTCTAGGTCGGCTTCTGCCAGTCTCTGCTTAATAAATTCCTGAACATCTATGCTTTCCAAGGTGGACAACGTCTGATGTCTGGGGGTGAGCTTCACCTCGGGTCTGATGTCTCTCCTGTACTTGAGCTCCTCAGCTGCAGAAGGGTTCCTCAAGGCCGTGATGTCAAAGGCCTCGGTGTCTTGCTCCCCACCCCCCTCGTCGTCATAGGTGACCACATTCTCTCTCACATCCTCCTCGGAAATGATCAGGGGTTCTTTCTTGCTGCGTCTCAAGGTGATAAAAAGGACTACGATTGCTGAGAGAAATGGAAAGAGAGTGACAAGTTAGCACCAAGAAAGAGGGCAAGTGTTGGAGACATTACAGCAGCAATTTCCAGTTGTTAATGCGGCCCTTTGAGGCTGGCTCTGTGACAGCATCCAGAGTTCTGAACCGCAAGGTTTTTCAGTATCTCAAGGAATGTAAAAATTCATTATCCCTACAAAACATAAGGAATCGCTGATCTCTAGCAAACCAGAATGTTCTCTTTGGTGGGGTTTATGCATTCAGCATTTTTTGTTCAAATTGCCTTAAAAGTTTAACAAATGATTGCAAAGCAAAGAAATACCACGTTAGCGATCCTTTGATAAAGAACATTCCTATCACCCTAAAAACTTCCCTTTTATCTCTAAAACCCTTAAAAGTAAGATCTTTCTTTGCTTTTTTATCATTACAGTTTTTCTGATTCTCTTTGTAATTTATCCATTTTGGGCACATACTCCTAAATAATATACACAAGTTTTACCTTATATTAAAAGAAGATATCATAGTATACAAGTGAATATATGAGTGGATGAAAAATAGATTTTCAAGCCAGAAGAGGAGGTGGTGATTGTGAGAAATAGATTTTCAAGCCAGAAGAGGAGGGGGTGATGTGAGAGAGGCATCTACCAAATGTGGAAAGAGCAGGTTGCAGTATGCATGGGGAGGATCTTAGGGCATGCAGAAAGGGCAAGTTGGGAACCTGTAAGAATGAAGAACCACAACAAAAAAATGGCACAGTATCTACAGAGAGGGCAGGGGAATCTTCTGGAAAATTCCAGCATGAAAAGATATTGACAAGGTAATGGGAAAATGTGAGGGGAAATTATGGTCACAGTGGGGAAGTACTGAGTCACTGTGCTTGAAAAGAAGCAATGACACAAAGTTGCAGAGACTTTGCAGATGCTACAACATGTTATTTTGGGCAAATAACATTTGCTGAATGCAAAAAAAAAAGTGCATTTAATTCCTCATTGTTTATTTTAGTATAAATCCAGCCCACAGCTTTCTAATCCAGTGGCCCAACAGCATCCTCAAATAACTGAGCCCATTCTACTCCAAGGTAAAGATTTATCATGCATTATGTTTTCTGCTCATCTTTATGATTCAAGTGAGGAAACTTCTCTAGATTAAAACACTTCTAAAGATTGCCTAGATTATAATAGCAAGACTTTTTATTTTGTCAGTCAATCATGATAGTGGCTGGCAGTTGATGTTAAGGGAATTTATGTGCATGCACAGCCCAGAGAATATGATTAATATTATTATCAAAGTTTGGAGGTAAATTGCCCCCTTCTCCAATATTTGTGACTGTACTATATTTGCCTAATGAAATATAGAAGAGAAATTAGAGTTTATTTTTGTGATAGTTTATACTTGTTCATTCCCCCAGAGTTAAGAAATATTCCTGATATATTCAAGTATTACCAAACATACCTACTATTCAAAATATACATGCTATTAATTAAGTGTGAATTCTGAGGGTTTATATCTGTTTCTTTTCCAGGTACAGATAATTATTTGCCAGTAACCAATGATTTCTTGCTTAGTTACATGCTTATTTATGGGTTATCCTATAATTAATCATAGAATTTGAGGCACCTTTAAGGATAAAAAGGGTTGTCGGTCACAACAACAAAACGTGAATATATGGTTCCTCTAGTTAAAAGCAAATTCATATCAACTGAAAAAATGTGGAAACATGTACAATAAGGTGTGTACCTAATAAATCACTTTTCATTCATTTTTGTTCAGTAGATATTTCCAGAGCAGACGGCACAGAGTTAATACTGTAAAAACCAATTTCTATAGCCTCACCAGGAAATAATTTTTTAATATTTTGTTAAATAAGCTTTAGCATTACCTAATTTTTCTTGAGAATATTTTATTATTAAAACAAAGTAAATGGTCCAAAGAATTTCTAAGACAAAACTTATTTGAGGAGGGAAAAGGGAGATACTAATTGTAGATAAAGATTTGAGTGTAAAATTCTTATTTAAAGCTAGTGGTCAGGGCCTCCCCGGTGGCGCAGCGGTTGAGCGCTGGGCTGCGAAGCTGCCCGCAGCCTCTGCAGCGCCGGTTCGAACCCCAGCTGCTCCCCGGCCACTGGAGGAGGGTCCCGCATGGCGCACAGACCTCTCCTGCCGCCCGCTGCTCCCCTCAGCAGTGTACTTCGGTCCGCGCTTCTGACTGTACCCAGTGCTTGAATAAATAAATAAATAAATAAATAAATCTTAAAAAAAAAATAAAGCCTGTGGTCAAATTTACTATATTCAAATAAATCCTAGGCCCACTCCCACCCAGTTTATCAAATCTTGCATTTTAGAAAATCTACCTCTTCTTACAATGGATCATATAGAAAAATATAATATGTATGAGGCACTGTGTTATGTAAGAAATTAGTGGTGTCAAAATTGTCCTTTGTTCAAAATTATTAATGATTTCTGGTATTTTGAAATTTGGCTATATAAGATTAAAATGTGAATAAAGTATAGTATTTATGAAATGTTTTACATCAAATGAATTTTATTCTTGGTCAATATATTTCTTTTTCATTTTTGAGTTTGGCCAAATGTTAAACATACTGTATACTATCTTTTTATTCAAGAAAATTAAAATGAATTTGAGTTTTAGTAATTTATTTTATTCATAAAGGAATTCAAATTTGTGGAGGTTTTTTTGAATTTGTTTTCTCATATCATGTCTTTATATTATCATCCCAGAGCTTACACGAAGAAAGGGAGTTCTCTGTTTTCATCACTTAAACTTTCACATAACTTGCGTTTGAATTCATTAGGTACTGATTCTTAAAATGCTTTTGTTAACAGAGTTTTTCAGTCTTAATTTCACTTGCTTCCTGTTTGACACTAAATTTGATTGAAATAAGGTGCCTCAAGTCAGGGAGATTAATTAAAGAGCTTCTGTGGCCCTATTGGTCTTACCCCACCACACACTCCTTGATGAAGCTTGTTCATTCAAAGGAAGGCAACCTGGCAAAAGTCATTTGCAATCAATTGCTTTTGTGACAAAGAGGTTGGCTGCTATCTCCTCACACTAAATTCACCTAATCCCCATGTATCAGGAAATTTACACACAAGAGCAGGAGCCAAGCAGGTCTAGACACACCTAGGCTGCCCGTTTATACTTGATGTGTGGACTGAAATGGTAGCTCACAGAGGTCTGATTCAGAGTTGGTGTGTGATTTCCTTTTTTTAAAGAAATTGTAATTATTTTGGTGTAGAAGAACTGATGTATAGGCCAGAGTTGCAGGGTCGTGAGGATTCACCAGAGACAGAGTGGGGAACAGAACAGGTAGATTTACTGAAATTCCCTGCTAAGGGGAGCAACAGGTGAGACAGGAGAGGTCTGCTGCACCATGTGGTCAGCTCCCTGGCCGGGATTCAAACTCAGGCCATAGTGGTAGTAGTGCTGAGACTTAACCCCTGGTGACCAGGGAGCCTCCTGCTATGTGATTTCTTGTGTCAACTGTAATTAAGATTTACTCTATCAACTATTCTGGTCTCTCTGACAAGTGATGGGATGAGGTTGGGAAATAAATGTCATATCCCTGGGAGGAAAAGACAACTCCCCTCCCCTAGTACTAATCTCTGATGGCATCATGAAGACCCATACAAAATTTCCCATATAATGGATCTGAAAAAAGTTAATCCTGACAGAATGTGATCCAACTCACAATGTGTACATCCATCATTTAATGTTATACCTTTTGCATTTAAAAAATAGTGATTTCAGATCATTAATAGATGGAGTCTGACTCTATGATAAAATACTGAATCATATCTAACTTATAATAAAGCATTAACAAGCACCACAACATTTTGCAGATGACTCTAATGTCCTACTAATTGAAACATTATTTTCACAGGTTCCAAAATAGTAACAAGAGACCAAATAGGCCAACTAACATCACACAGTTAATTAGCAGCAAAACTCGGACTGGGTTTACACGAACACTGCTATTTTCATTAAAAAATAGCTAATAGTTAAAACATTTTTGAACATTAAAATATCAACTTCATAAAAATCAAAATCAACAACCAACTATAAATCAGGGACACTCTACGGGGGCGGGGGGGTGGAAGGACAGTGAGAGGAAGGACTAGGGTCAAAATAAGGGAGGTGTGCAATTGTATGGGGAATATAACCAAAATGAAAATCCATACATTGTGCAAAAATGAGAAATGATGTAAGAATTATATAAAATAAAATATTAAAAAATATATCTACTTCACAATTTGTTAGCTGCTAAGGTTGTACATTATTTCAGAATTATAACAAGTTCTAAATGAAGTTTTGCTATTGATATTTTTCCTTGAAAATTAGAAGCTCACATGTTAGCCAATGTTATTTTAAAATACAAGTTAGTACAATGTGAGACTGTGACTAGATATTTATAATAATAATGAAAATTTTAGAGTACTATGAAAAATATAAACTACATTATAAATTTATAAATAGTGATTATTAAAAACCAAATGCAAGAATATTTTCTACAATTTTTGGATAAACTGCAAAAACGCATTCAGTTTCAACAAATATTGGAGGAAGAAACATCAAATTCCATTTATGTTTCACTAGTATTAAAAGATAGCATAAAATTTAGATGTGTTCTCTGATTTATCCCTTCGAGGAAATATTTTCAGAAGTCAAGTAAAAGGAAGTATTGTTTCATAAAACAATAAAATATGATTTCACATAATACATCTTCAAAAAAAGTACTGGTATAGTACCATCTTTCAATGGCATTTTAAGGTTTTATTTTAGTGTCTAAAAATCATTTTATTGTGAAGAATGAAAAAGAAGTGAAAGGCAGTCCAGGAAAAGGACTTATATTGGTTACGAAAGTGAAGAGCCTTAGACTGATGTTTGTTGCTGTTGGTTTATTTTCCAGTTTTGGTTTGTTAGTAAGATTTTCTTTTGTTTTAATTTTTCAGGACAAGACAATACTATATTTATATCTAAAGAAAATAGCATTTGTCACCCATCAATATGTAAACAAATACAATGCAGAAAGCCCATTCCCAGCTCCGCATGCTCTCCATCCTGCATTTCTTGTGAACCAGCATCACGCAGTGACACACCCTTGGTCGGTGTGCTAACCTCACGCTGCATTTTGACAAGTGCAATGCTTACTTTCTGCTCATTTATTTCACCTCTGAGCAGCACTGTTGAGTGCTCTGTGCCCTTTGATGTATTTTTTCCTTGATGTTTGTGATACTCAGTGCTCATTTTCTTGCTTCTCTGATTTCTTCTCTCTCCTTTGCCATCTCATCCTTTCAGACTTAACACATTGGATTTATCACAGTTGAGATCTAGTCCACTATGTCCCTGATTATATTCTTTTTTGTTGTAGTGACTTTAGCAGACTGGTGCACCCCAGCTCAGCAAAGATCGGGGTTCCCGCTGGGCAACAGATGAAAGGTCTTCTTTGATGCTGTCGTAACTCAACCACATATCTAAAATATCCAAGATCACTCTTTAATATTTTTTTTGCTATTTTTTTCTTGCCCCTGAAAGCTTTTTTTTTTTTTAAAGAAAAAAGATATTATGTCAAAAACATTACCTATTTATTTGCTCAATGGCATGAAATTATCATCATCACAGTTTTCAAAGGGCACTTCAGGCACTTTCACAAACCATTTAGTTAAGATGTTAGCAATTGTTTTAATCCTGGGATCTGCATGATCCTTTGATTTCACCTAAAACATCGTGATAGTCATCCACTTCAGCTCTAATACATCCTGAGCAAGAAAACTGCCTTGTTTTCCTAATGGCTTGACCTAATGCTTTTGCCATCACTGTCTGTTCTCCACTTCATCAGTTATCTTTTGTTAAAATGTAAATTTTATGATGAAACCTCCCAGCTGTAAATTTTTCTTTACACTTCTAGAACCAAGTCTACCATCTCCATGTCCAATGAAGCTGATTATCTCATCGTGCTGAAACATCCATTGTGATCTTCAGTCTCATTCTGTTTTGTTTACCACTCCTCTGAACAGATAATTAGTCTTCTACCCCAGAACAAAACAAGGAACATTTCTTGCAATAATATATCTTATAATAATATATAGTTACTTTTTTATTTCTTTTCATGTGTTCACAGTACCAAGAAAAGAACAAAAGATAAGGTTGCTAAGAGAAAGGCAGAAGGGAATAAATACACCGGAAAAATAAATATATAACACATTGAACCATGGTGCAGAAATATTCTTTACATTTTTCTTATTGTATAAAAATCTGGATTTGCTATCTTATTTAAGTAATGATTCTAAAGCTCTTACAGTAATATCAGCTTCAAATGCAGTTGTGATGACATTAATACATTGACAAGAATGTAACATTAGAGAAAGTATTTTTATAAAAATGAGATGGATTACAGATCTCAAAAAATCATATTTTAATTTAAAATTTAATATCTCTCAAGCCAAAATTATTTAGGCTTCATACATTAAAATTCAATTAACACTGATGATTGACTAATGCTTTAGACTAACAGAAATTTCTACAAGAAATCTATCTTTATTTGGTATTCAGATTTTTTTTTTAAATGATGCCCGCTTATGTTCTTTCCAATAAATTGTACAAACCATTTAATATGGGGTTGAGAATATTCAGCATCAAATTCTCTCTAAAACAGAACCTTTCAGAAAGAGTTCATTCCTATTCTATCCTATATTCTGATGTCGCAACTCTTTCATCACATTGGAATCAAAATACTTCTAGATTAACTAAGTTGTTGGGAAAAGTCAATTAAAGGAAATCTGTGCATCCAGGTTTTGTTACCCACATCATGGATAAATATTGTCAGCTTCTTCCTCTCTCTTACCCTTCCCACCTCCCATATCTAACACGCTCTATTGACCATATCCATGGCAGGTGCATTCAGAACTGTCTTGTTACAACAGACTTCCTGAGATGACTTACCTAGGAGAATGACAACACACAGAAGAATAGCGATTAAGGCTCCTGTACTCAAACCAGCGGAGGACAGGAAGGCTTCTGCATGGCAAGTCCGCACACGCCCGTCTCTCTCGCATGCACAAACCCTGATGGTGAGGGTGCTGCTGCTGCTGAGAGAGGGGATTCCACCATCAGAGATCATAATGGGGAGATAATACACATCCTGAATAGTTCGACTAAATCTCCTCCGCCTTGTCAGAATGCTGGCTGTGTTATCTATGACAGACATAAGCAAAACAAAATGTACTTAGTAAAGCCGCCATTAAAGATTCACATTTCCTTTAATGGATAAAATGGGTATGTGCGATTGGTTTCTCTTTTCATGAAATGGACAAGGGAACATGAAGGGGCAATTATTAAAGTGTTGCTAATATTGGTTCTCAAGTTGGGAAGAGTGTTTGAAAAATTAATACAGCCCATACTAAAGAGGGGAAATAGTGGCAGACAGAGGTGAGAGGAAGTAATGAATATTTTCGACATGACCATAATAGCCAAAGAATTGAAAAAAAGATAAAGAAAGCTTAAAGCTAGTGGGTTCTAAGCTTTGCAGTGAGCCAGGGGTCCCTACTCCAAAACTGGTGACTTGGAATATGAGAGAACCTTACGTCTGCATTTTCAGCAAACTACTGACATCATGTTAATGTACAAAAATGTCTTAGAACCACTGGTTTAAAGAATATATTTATGGAGTCACCAGACCAACTGATAAAAGTTTTTAGACTTAGCTCTGATTTCAAGCATTCTTGTTCTAGTGGACACATGACGGGTAAGTCAATGACGACTTAAACAGTTAATTCGACTTATCAGTGACACTATCTGGCATTTGTCTTTTTCTTTCTATCTTATTTTGATTGTTACAGTACTTTCCAGCTCTATCCATAGTGCCACACGAATGGCATGAGTTTATCTTTTTGGATCACTGAGTATAAACTGTGTACAAACACCATAGCTAATTGATCTATTCATCTGTTTGGGGACATTTAGTTTGTTTTCATGTTCTGGCAATTTGGTAAATAGTGCTACTACAAACTTGGGAGAGCAAGTTTCCCTTCAAGTTAGTGTTTTTGGTGCTCTTTGGGTAGAAACCTAGGAGTGGCATTGCTGGGTAGTGTGGGTTCATCTTTTGGAGAACCTCCATGCTGTTTCCATAGGGGCTGGACTGCACTGTATTCCCACCAATAGCACAAGATGGTTCCTTTTTCTCCACATCCTCGCCAGCATCTGTTATTTCTGATATGGGCCATTCTCACAAATATAGAAAAAGTAAACAAAGGGACAGATAAACCAAATTTAAAATCTAACCTTGGAATACAGACCACAGAACTGAAGAATCCAGAGGAGTGCAAGGGGGTGAGAGCATAATAGGGAGGTTGCACAATGGACTAAGGTGGTGGACCATGGGTGCTTTGGTGAGGGGGGCACTACAGGAATAACACTAGAAGGGAGGTCCTACACACCCAACATGCAAATAACAATATAAACCCAGGTTAGATCAATAAATATTTAATTCTATTTTTATATGCTTTTTGAATGCTATGTATCTAGTAAGTGACTACATGGTATATGTTGGTCAAGCCACAATATCACATAAAGGAGAGGATGCTACATTCCTTACTTTGAAGGATAATGTCATTTTTACTACCAGTGATAACTCAAAATTAACCTGTGTTCCAGAGCTAAGTTGCCCCAAATGAGAGCTAATAAATGATCGGGATAAAACCGCTGCTCTAAACCCTGTGCAGAATCACAGTGTCACAGTGTGTCTTCAACCATTCAACAACTTTTGTTATTGAGGCCCTCAGGTGCACATAGTATAAGGTTATCTTAGCATCATCACCTCATTCCAGCTTGTCTGTTAGATGAAGGACCCTTCTGGTCTACAATTGAGTGTACTGTTCCGATCCCCTACAAGGGCTCACTTATTGCTAGCTTGAGATTGCTACCTGGCCTAAAGTTACACCCTACTGAACAAGCACAGAATCAATAACTTATTGCTACAAGATATAAAGGTCAAGCCATTTCTACCCAATGTAGCCTAAATAATGAAGTCAAGTTTCGTTCCAGAGTATTCCCTTGGAGTCATCAGTGGAGTCCTTTATAATTGCGTGGCGGGTCTATTTCTCACTGTTTCCAACATTTCTCCCAATGTAGGTTACAGATGGTCACCCAAAGCTCACGTTCCAGTAAACACCCTGCTTTCTAAACTCTAATTCAGGTTATTTCTGAGAATCTCTCCCTGTGATTATACCTATCAGCTAATTGCTTTTCACTAACTAGTTATTGAATCTCTATACAATTACATCTAGGGATTATGTTTCCATTCTTTTTCAGATTCTTTTATTCTGAAAATTGTAATTATGTTACTATACATATTTTTTATGATATAAAATCCTACATCTAGGGCCTCCCTGGTGGTGGCACAGCGGTTGAGGGCTGGGTTGTGAAGCCGTCTGCAGCCTCTGCAGTGTCGGTTCGATCCCCCGCCGCTGGCGAGGGTCCCACATGGCGCAACAGACCTCTCCTGCCATGCCCACTGCTCCCCTCAGCAGTGTCCTTCGGTCCTTCTGCCTGTTCTGCTCCCCGCTCTGGCTCTGGTGAATTCTCTCACCCTCCCATGCTTCTGACTGTACCCAGTGCTTGTATGAATAAATAAAAAAAAAAAATTAAAAAAAATCCTACATCTATATTTTCTTGATTTTATATTACCAAGTTAGCAATAGAATTATAATAAGCTTGTAAATATTCAATGCCATGAAGATAATAAAACACATGAATTAAATACACATTTAATTCATTTAATGTATTTCGGTCCATCTGCCTGTTCTGTTCCCCACTCTGTCTCTGGCGAATCCTCTCACCCTCCTGCGCTCTGGCCTGTGCCCCAGCTCTTGTATATAAAAAATAAATCTTTAAAAAAATAAATATACATGTGAATATATAATGTTTTTATAATTATGTATACATATATAAATATATATCTACATATATGTGATTTGTTGACATTTTGCTACAGTGGGCATGTAAAAAATCTAATAAGGAACTAGAAAAGTTCTTTGTAGAAGTGGGATTTTTTTAAAGTATCAAGAATAGAGAAAGAAAAAGAAGACAAAATATATGACCTGTATTATACAATATCAAAAAACTATTATGCATGGATCCTCACTCAGTGAACCTGGCCTTTGAGGAAGAATATGTATAAGTTATAGGATGTTGCATCACAATTAATATAAACTTGTCTATATATATTCAATTACTCAGTTTAAAAAATGATATGAGCTTAGTAATCATAGGCACAGACATAGTTGAGAAGCTCACCACGGGTTCTCGGAAGAGATACCAGCACTGGTCTCTGTTCTCAATAAACATGAACAGTGCTGTGTGGCGTGAGAGAGTACCCCACAGGGTGACTAGGGCCCTTTTATGACTTTGGCTTAGGGTGCTTTTTCACATTCTCAACCTGGATTCAAGTTTCTATTCAGGAAAGGCAAGAAGAAACAGAATCACAAACAAGAGAAAAGCCGGAAATGCAGTGCATGTTTTTAGTGCATTTTACATTCTGAAACGGCAACTTTCAGACACAGAGACATAAAAGTGTCCTTTCTTTCTTTATGAAAAGATTTGGCTTTGGAAAGCAAAGGAGATTCAGGTAGCAAAGAGCTTCCCACCTAGGAAGGCTCAGCACAACAGAATAAAGCTCCTTACAAAGAATATTATAGACTTGCCTGGAACTGCAAAACATGGACTTGGCGGAAGACTCACTGGAAGCAAATTGAAAGGGATATGATGATACACAGACATATAAACAAACACATATGTAAACACATGCATATATATGTATATGCACACACACATAGAGCATGTGCAAGAGAGCAAAATTTGTGTTCCTTCAGCTGCAAAAGTAGGTGACAAGACTAACAAAATTCTAAAATTGAATACAGCATCTTAAAAAATAAGCCAAGTAGGATAGGAAGTCTTGCATGGCTTGTAAGTGGATAACAAAAATATGAGCTAAATAATGGGCAACCATAGGAGGGTAGAACATCTGTGGATGAGGAATGTTAATTATCAATGTCAAATAAAGGACAATCTCTAATAAAGTGGACTCAAGCGTCATTCTTAACACACTCAATAGTTTGGATGAAGACAGAGCTTATAAAACTCTTGGAAGCCAAGCTATTACAGCTAATATATTGGACTAGGATTTAAGGAGATTTTAAACAGCTATCTATCACAAAGACCTTAAAATACCAGGAAGACATGAAATAAAGATGTGTTTTACATAGTGAGCTTTGAAAAGCACCCTATAACAACCATAATCTTGAAATGTATCAGCAATAAAGCCACAGAGGGGCCAAATGAACTAAAACCATCTTGGAAGATTCAATAAAGATCTGGAATTTCTATACTTCTTTTTATCGAGAAGACTTCACTGGCCTACAGTGTATACACTTGAGTCTACTCCCTTAGTTGGAGGATGACGTGTACCTTGGTGGTTAAATGTGGTATAGTAAGTAACATGCAACTGGAGGGTGTGATCCTGTAATCTAAATCATGTACAGTTGTGTAATCAATGTCACTGCAATTAAAAAAAAAAGTGACACTTTAGCCCAATGAAGTGTATTTAGCAGACCTTGGCAAGGTAGGTTGCCAAGGTAGAAACTATGTCAGGTGAAGAATCAAGCAACAGCATGAGAATCTACACCTCATATATATGGATTTAGGTATCCAAGGGGTCTCAAAAATATCCAGGAAATCTTGGAAAACTCTCTCAGCAGTTAATGCTTTTAATAATAATATTTTTAATAATAACATTAAAATTTTTAAACAATAATATTAAAATTTTAATAATAATATTTTAATAATATTTTAATATTTTTCTGAAGATGATCAATACATCCCAGCAACCAGGTTTTTCAGTGTAATATAGAAATAGTCCTGAATATGTTTTAATACTGTGAAATTGATGACAATGCATTCTTAGTTATGTGTTGAATTTCTTGATCTGAAAAGCATATCAGGAAGCAGGGAGACCTAGGCAGATATATAATGTCTGACTCACATGGACACTAAAAACTACTGTGATGACTGACAGAACTGAAATTTGGAAGCCTTTGAAAATGCAGCAAAATAACAATAACATTCACTTTTGTGGCTCAAGTATTCCATGAATTTTATAACTGATTATTTGAGAGGATCTTTAACAAAAATACTTCTAG